AACCAATTAGTGGGCAATAATGATGTACAGTAAACTCCAGTGGTCAATCAGTTAGCACTAATGATGTCCAGTAACCTCTGATATGCTGTAACCTTCGTCAACAAAATCGCAATCATCTCCTGATCTGCTACAGTAAACTGATTTTGAGTCTAGCTGCTATTTATTGTATGTTTCAGAGCAGGTGGACAGCAAAATTGCATGGGGGGGGGGGGGGGACGCCCAAGAAAATGTTGCCCAGGCTGCAATCAATATTAAAGACGGCCCTGATTTACTTGAGTTATATAACAACATCCAGAACAGCCTACACACAATTTTAATTTGGAGTAATAGATTATCTACTTGACATATTCAAACTCCTGTCTGGTTTTTACTGCTCTGTACATCATTACATCCTGTGACGGACTGCCTGACACCCCGATTGGGTATCTCCACCAACTACAGCTTCCTCCACTCTGGAACCAGAATAAGCAATTACAGTCCAAACCTTCCTATTTACCAGACAGGATGAGTATATTAGGTTAGGACTGTAGATAGCAAATTTACCCCAAGCATCAGACAGGACCAATGTTGGAGTAAAACAGGACTGACTTGATTAAGAAACCACAGAATATTTATACACAAAAAACTTTCAGGTATGACACACATCAGGAGAAAATTAAATCACATAAACAAACAATCAAACTCAAGAGAACAATGAGTCCCTTTCTGGCACCTAACAGTCTGGACTCTGGTGATGATTAAGTGAAGTTAGAGATTTTCACCTAGAGTCAGCCAAGTTTATCCCATTATTCACAAAACAGGAATAGGTCCCAAAATTAACACCTTCATGCTTGATTCACACCCTGTGCTTATTATGGGAACAGGGTAACCTAAACATAATGCCAGGGGAAAGTAGCAGAAATGTTCTTTGTAACACCAAAAGGTCAGAGGGGATGTATCTCACAGTTATACATTCTACTTAGAGTACATCACACTCCACTTACAAGTTACACTCCATGGGGATACTCCCAGATCCCTTGTGTACTTGATGTAACAGAGAGCTTTGGCCTTACTTCTCCTTTAAAACTGCTGCATCAGTGGAAAGCAACAGTACTGAAAAAACAGCTTTCCTTTCTGGGGAGCAGGGAAGAGTGCCAGTGCTTCCAGAGCATCTCTGCTCATAGTGGTTCTGGAGGAAATGAGTGAGATTCCACAGTCCCTAAGAGAAGTTTGTTTCAGGCATGATGAGTGCCTTTAAGGAGACAAAAAAGAGTAGTCGAAAACAGTAAGAAAAAACAATCTGATCTTTCTTGTGTAATCTACTGAACTCCCTTCCATGTAATAGAGTTGAACAAAGGCAGATGAGTTTGTAGTTGGGCTTTGGTTAAACCATGGCTGCCTCCATAGATACTGAATTGGTAATCTGTAATATATTACATTTTAGTTTTTTTTGTTTAGATATGCTTTAGGCTCAAATCTGCAAAAAGTGGATTGATTTTAAACAGTAATAACTAATTTTATGACTATAATTACATGACTGAAATAAAAAATAAAATTAATTGCCATTGCTTGAAAAGGAAATAACTTATTAATTCAAAAGTAGATAAACGACATGATGTTCCAAAAGCATGCTGTGAGCAGAATGTATAATCTCATTGTTAATCAATGGGCATTCAGCTATTAAGAGAAACAGAAGTATGCATTGTGAAGTAAACATAGAAACCTAATAACAAAATGCCAGATTATTTAATTCACAAACTATCTACCTAATATATAGTTCTAGGGAACTGTGAACAAAAATACAACCAATGGTGGGAAAATGAGAGTGGATGTACAAGATGAAAAAATCTCAGGACCAAAAGATTATTTTCATATTTATTGCAAAACTTTATATGAAAAGGGAAGTTCCCCCTCCCCCAACACCTTTGGTGTTTTTTTGGGGGAGAGGGTACCTATTTCTGGCAGGTACAAACTCCCACTTCCTCTCAGATCACCTAGATGGTATTTCGGCTCCCCATCCCTGCCAGAAACCTCCTGGAACACGTCACAGTTCCTAGGAGGCTGTGGGTCCATTCAAAAAACATGTGCAGTAGGGAATTGCCTGTAAAGCCACAGGAAGTTACAGCCAGCTTCCCACATCTAAGATGGTGGTACTTCCCACATCCAAGATGGAAGAACTGGCTGGGATGAGGACAGCACTGGATTCCTGGACTGGTAAGTGCATGTTTATTAAAAGTCAGCAGATACAGTATTTGTAGCTGATGACTTTTTTTGTTTTTTTAAAGATAATAGCAACAATTACTGCACAGGACTTTATGAGCACCCAGAAGAAGACCTGGAGAAAATGCGCTGGGTATTATCTAGCTAAACATCCTTGCTTTTATATCATATATAGCGCCACTCTGACCTCCAAATGCATTTGAGGTGGAATAGAATTTTCCCAGGGCTGAATTCATGGCTGAAATGTTGGGAATGTGTAATAATAATTGGGTGCCAGTCATTTTAAGGACTTTTTTAAGGATTTTAGTCTTCACAGCAACAGATGGGACTGAATAGGTAACTCAGAACACCCTTACTGACTTGCAGGCTCAGACTCCATCCCATAGACCTTAGTACAGACTTTAAGGGCTTTAGGCTGAAACCAGTAACCAGTACCTTTTCCAGAATAAGCAGTAGTAGCTCTAGTACGAGCAGTGTTTACAGTAATCCTCTTGATGTTTTCCCAAGCTCTCACAGAGTTCCCCCTCCATAGGATCTATCGTGGCAGAGTCACCTCTGGTATTCCATCCCAGGTGTAACTTCTCCTTCCAGATCTCTGTTGTCTGTGAAGCTCCTTGATCCCAGGACCTCAAGCAGCAGGACTATAATGGACAGGTAGGCTTCTGCTCCCAGGCATTTGCACCGAGTGTATGCAAAGGCCTCATAAATTGCTCAAACTGCACCCTCCCCGAGCTGCAGCTTGGGGGGAAAAGAAAGCTCATGAGGGCTAAACCAAATATTTATGCATGTCACCAACCTGCACCAGTAGCAATAAACCTTCTACTGGTTGGTCAGAATTAACATAAATATTCATAACTCAGTATTACTGTGGGACCTCACTCTATTACAAGAGGTATCAGTGACCTCTACTAGCTGCACACAGTTCTACTAAGTTTAGGAGAAATCCAAATGAACAAATAAATCATAAATCAGCTTGGGCTAACAATCACCCAGCAGGAATACATTTAGAAAGTCACCCCTTTTTAGGACAGGGAAGTTACACATATACAGGTGTTCAAAAGATGTGTACTGTAGCTCTAAACGTGTCACTTTAAAAAAAAAAAAGTTTCCAGCTTTTAACAACACATCCAAACAATAAATACATTATTCAAAAAGGCTATAAAATATGTACATTTGTCGTGTTTCTGCATAATGATACTACTTTGTCAAAATAATCAGTGTCAATGTTGACAGAGGCAAAATGCAGGGAGCTATAATGTGTCTATTAAACAGCAATTCTTATTATATACACTGTCCGCTAATAACGCTGGGAATGCAATGCAAATTTGCACATAGAATTGTAACTCATTCCAGCAATATCTGTCAGATGACTGAAATAATAACATTATGTACTCTGTCAGTTATGGTGAATTTTGAATAATTGACTCTGATAATTGTGTAGGTGAAATCACATGCAATTAAAAATTAATTGCTAATTGTCTGATGGTCAGAAATTCTGTTGATTCAGAAATGAGTTGCCGATTTGCATGTGGGGTTGCGTTTTTCTCATCGTGTCTAATGAGACTGTTTGCTGAAACGTAAGGAGGGATCAGGCGCCTGGCAGTAAACTAATTTTGTGGTGAGGCTGTAGAATGAATGATTGGAGACCAGAGGTCAGGGGTCACCAGGTCCTCATTTACTTTTGAGAGAAATGAACTGTTGTGTTGGTGTTAGAAGTTGAATTATTAATGCATGTTGATTAGAAACATGCAAAATGATCTAGTAATGTGATATTTCTTTCAAATGATCTTATTTAATGTCTTTTTAGATTGAGTTTTAATATTTTCACTGCACATGAAATGTATAAACTATTATTAATGAAAAATGAAAATAGACATAATTGAACAAGGAAAGTGAAAATAGATTATCTAGGCTTCAGTAACAATAGTCAATAGCAATCAGACTCCAGGTATTATTTTTCTAGCACTGGTAGGAATAGGAGGGGTTAAAGGGCTATCTTTTCTTGTACACACTCAACTGTTATATTTTTTTACATTAATTTATATAATGCTGATACTTTCTGCAGCGTTTTATAGATACATAGAACCAATCACATCAGTAATGGCTCCAAAACATTTTATAATGCAATGACTTTACCTGGGTCATACTGTTCTGGCTACCACTAATCGGGGTGAATTTGAGGTAGATTCAAAGAAACCTGCTTATTGTAGCCCCAACTAATGTATATATATACTGTATATATATATATATATACACACACACACACACCGTATTTTTCGCTCCATAAGACGCACCTGACCATAAGACACACCTAGATTTTAGAGGAGGAAAACAAGAAGAAAAAAAAAAATTCTGAACCAATGGACTGCAGACATAGTACAGGAGATGACCAGAGACCGCAGACATAGTACAGGAGATGACCAGAAACTTCAGACACAGTACAGGAGATGACCAGAGACTGCAGACATACTACAGATCACCAGAGACTGCGGACATAGTACAAGAGATGACCAGAGACCAGGGCAGACTGACAACTCATGGGGCCCCCGGGCAATAGGGGATCATGTGTCCTTGCCCAAACTCAAAAAAGCCTATGAAAAAGGTACCAGGGGCATCTCATGGGGCCCCCTACTGACCCCGGGCCCTCGGGCAGTGCCCGAGTTTCCAAATGATCAGTCCGCCCCTGCTAGAGACTGCAGACATTGTACAGGAGATGACCAGAGACTGCTGACATAGTACAGGCAATGACGAGAGACTGTGGACATACTACAGAAGATGACCAGAGACTGCAGACATAGTACAGGAGATGGCCAGAGACGGCGGACATAGTACAGAAGATGACCAGAGACTGCGGACATACTACAGGGGATGACCATAGACTGCGGACATTGTACAGGAGAAGACCAGAGACTGCGAACATACTACAGGAGATAAACAGAAACTGTGAACATAGTACAGGAGATGACAAGAGACTGTGAACATACTACAGGAGATGACCAGAGACTGCGGACATAGTACAGGAGATGACCAGACACTGTGAACATAGTACAGGAGATGACAAGAGACTGCGGACATAGTACAGGAGATGACCAGAGACTGCGGACATACTACAGGAGATGACCAGAGACTGTGAACATAGTACAAGAGATGACAAGAGACTGCGGACATAGTGAAGGAGATGACCAGAGACTGCGGACCTTTCAGGGGGAGGGGTACCCGGTTGTCCTCCCCCCCTGCCTGCCCCTGTAGTCTTGTGGAACATGTAACAGGTCCCACAAGACTACGGGGCCATTCCCAAAGTGCAGCGCTTCTCGCGCATGCGCAGTGGGCTCTCGATTGTGAAGCCGCAAGCTGTCACAGCCGGGTGCCCACACTGAAGATGCTGGGCGCGAGGGAGAGAAGATGGCTGATGGAACAGGACACCGGTGGACCGAGGAACAGGTAGGACAGAGGAGCGGGTTCTTCTTCACAGTAGAGCCGAGCGGCTGGCCCGGTATTCTAACATGGCGGAGGTGGTGGGAATACAAGGCCGGCCACTCCATATTCGCTCCATAAGATGCACAGACATTTTCCCCCATTTTTTGGGGGAAAAAAGTGTGTCTCATGGAGCTAAAACTCTCCTTGAGGGTTAGGAACAGATCTGAATGTACAATATATGTGTAAGGCACTGTGTAAATTGACAGAGCTATATACTGTAAGTGCCTGTAATTGATAAAAAAAAAAAAAATATATATATATATATATATATATATATTATATGTAGTGCTACCCCTGAAGGAGCTGCGGAATTATTTTGTGATTTCTATGCTCACCTGAAGCACACCTCACTCAGCCAGCACTTACTGACTTACTGGGATATTAAAAAAAAAGTATTAGGTCAAGCATAGCCTAAAAGAAGAGAGGGTTAGCAAGTGTACTTATACAAATGATCACAAAGACAATAATGTTACTCTAAGAGATATGGTTAAACATCTACAGTATTCTGACCAACAGTGATTAACAGAACTGAATTGCATTTAGCTAGCAAAAGTATATAAAGACAGTCCTGACCTGCTATAACAGTCCACGTTTTATCACACCTGCCAATGATTTGTGGATAAACGTTGGCAGTTGGCTGGCCCTTGAAGAAAGCACAACAGTTCCCAGCAGACAACAGATTAACTGAGAAAACAGGTAGGTTGGTTTTCTCTGGGTTTTGTAATTCCCAGACTAGGGTCTGGAATATAGGGGCTTTGTAGAGCTTTTGGAGGGAAGAAGCCCATACCCATGTGTCTGGGTCTTGCTGGAGACCAGTAGAGTGTCTGTACAGGTGTGCACAGCCCTTATAATCAAAGACCTTACAGAAAGTTGGAGCTCCATCCAGTAGACAAGTGTGTGCCACTCAGGAGACAGGATTTCTCCACGCAAGAGTCAAGAGCATCCCTGTCAAGAAGCCAGGGCATGGACCAGAGCAGCAGGGGGCTGCGGCTGTGAGAGTGGAAAGAGATGAGAACGCTACAATAGTTTACATGAGCACAGCTCACAGCTCCAGGCAGGAAAGGGGGAGTAGGGTCATTGGAAGGTGGGAGTCCTGAGCTGGGCTTTACGTTTATATGTGGTATGATTTATTTATCTTTATCTCTCCCAATTATTGCACATGTCCAGATCAGTGACTATGGCATGCAAAGCAACCTTCTCTGGCATGAGAAAACCCTAGGATTGGAGCAGGGATAAAGGTAGTGATTTAATTGAAAATGACTTTACCTTCTAATGTCCAGTTTTGCCATCAGCAACATTTTTGCCAACATGCAAACTCTGAATTTCATTCATTGAAGTGGAGTTCCAGCTAAAAAAAAAAACTGTAGCTGCTGACTTTTAAAATACAGCTACTTACCTGTCCCTCGGTCCAGCGGTGTCCTCACCACCGCTGGTTTCACCAGCCTTCTTCTCTCCCTGGTGCCGGCATCTTCAGTGTGGGCACCCAGCTGTGACAGCTTGCGGCTTCACAGCCGGGTGCTCACTGTGCATGCGCGAAAAGCACTGCACTTTGTGAATGGGCCCGTAGTCTTCTGGGACCTGTCACGTGTCCCAGAAGACTACGGGGAGCGAAGACAACTTCCACTTCCGATCGCCTAGGCAATCGCAGTGGAAGTAGGAGCAGGTACCTGTCAAATCTCCCTCTTCCCAAAGGTGCCAATCCTTAATGGGGAGCGGGGGACAAAACATTAAAGCAGAACTTCCCCTTTTGGGTGGAACTCTGCTGCTACTCAGAAAAAATTTGCTTAGAAAATCAAGCACCTGTTTTCTATTTAGAGGGTATGTTATTTTTGTATATTCAAGGTAGTTTAGTTTATTTCATTTAGGCTCGATACCTTGGACATCAAAGTCGCATGACATGTCACAGCCCATTATTTTTAATGGAACCCGTTTAAATAGTGCAAATTAAAATCACAGCTACTTTGAAAAGATACCTGCACTACTTTGGTTCGACTTTGATTTAGAGAATGTAAAGTCGTATCAAAATCGCACCAAAAGTAACATCAAAATTGTGCTCCAAAGTCGCACTAGAAATCATGCAACTTTGGAGACGCGCTAGTGTGCCTGGAATCTTAGAGTTATTTGTATTTGTGTATTTTTTGCCCTTTTAGGTTGGTATTGGATTATTATTTGTTTATTGTTACTTTATGGAAACTCAATCACCTTTTCTATTTCAGTAACAACTAGAAAATGTTGCATTTCCCATTACTTTGTTTTGTGCTAATAGTCATTAGTACAACCAGAAAGTGAGAGAACCTCCCTAGCAGGGAAATAGACATAAGAAACAAAAGAAAAATGTTTTGGCTGGAGATACATCTTCAAGCAAATGTAGGAGTCTCCACTGAGTTCATATCTATATCAGGGCCGGATCTGGGCCCTCCCCCCCACCCCCAGGGCTCTGAGAGTGTATCCACTGATCCATGAGCCAGTATGATGATGCAAACAGTTGATGTAACGAAGGACTCTGATGGGGACAATCCATGTAAGGGGGCACTCTCATGAGGACACTGGATGCAATGGGCACTCTGATTGGGATAACTGATTATATGTAAGGGGACACTCTGATGAAGACAGTCGATGTAGGGGAGGGCTCTAATAGGGACACTGATGTAAGGGGGTGCTCTGATGGGGACACCTGATGTAAAAGGGCACTCTGATGGGGACCCTGATGTGAAGTGGCACTCTGATAGGGACTCTGATGTAAGGGAGCACTCTGATGGGGACACCTGATGTAAGTGGGCACTCTGATGGGGTCTGATAGAGACATCTGATATAAGGGGGAACATATTTTGTTTAATCATTATAATTTAATGAAAACCTAATGCATAATAGTATTTCCTAGGTCATAACACTTTGTGACAGACTGTCAATGACTCACACACAATGCTGACATTATACCCCCTGACTTTTTTTTTATTGCACCCCCAGATCAGATAGGTCCAGCCCTGATCTATATTCACTTAAAGTGGTATTAAGCTCAAAAGCAAATATTTACTATATTCACTATATTGCAGCTTTCTAATTTTTAGATGTGATAGCTGCATTCATTTTCTTTTCTTGCTTTTTTTCCCTATATTTTAACCTGGTGATCTAGCCAGTAAGTATGTTATTGCAAAAAATACCACTCCTAATATTAGTGATAATTAGCGGCGCATTTTATGTGTCACACTAATTCCTTTTGATAGTCTCTATGTGCAAACTTATGTACACAAATATTAAATGACATAAATTATAAGTGACAAAAAATAAACAAACAAATTATGTATGTTATAATAGTGCCCACAAAACACCATAAAATATAAGTCCAGTGTAATCAATAATGATTTACAAAAAAAAAAAACGTCCAAAAAAAACTTCCACAATGTGAATCCTTTGTGACTCCCAGTGCAGATCCCTATGATTAAGTCAGGTAGGACGAAACATGTCAGGGTATGATGGTGCGGCGGACCAGAAGTGACACAGATACTCAAACCGCACCTGCGATTTCTGTTTCACTGAAAGGCTATTTTAAATAAGGCTTACCAATTTTTGGAATGCTGTAAGTGCAATATTTTGGCTTATTAAAGTTGTTTACCTTGGGTAATACACGATTGGAGCAAATTTTGTTTCTTTTTCTATGTAACTATGGAGAGGAATATATTATTATATTATTATCCTGGCTACCATTCTTATCATGGATGATTATTGGAGGAACCTCCTGGTCTTAACAAAAAGGCTGTGTTCTGATGACCCTGATTTCTGGAATTTATGCAATAAGGCTCATTAAAGGCTATGTTCTGGTGAAAGGGGGTGTATGAAAAGCACAGCACGTGGTTTATTTATTTCTGCACTGGGAGTCACAAAGGATTCACATTGTGGAAGTTTTTTTTTTGGACAATTTTTTTTTTTTGTAAATCATTATTGATTACACTGGACTTATATTTTATGGTGTTTTGTCGTCACTATTATAACATACATAATTTGTTTATTTTTTGTCACATATAATTTATGTCATTTAATATTTGTGTAAATAAGTTTGCACATAGAGACTATCAAAAGGAATTAGTGTGGCACATATAATGCACTGCTAATTATCACTAATATTAGGAGTGGTATTTTTTTGGAATAAGTTTTACATAGTAATTTAAAGTGGCAGCGGATTGGATATAATATTAAATATTTAAAAGCATCAATTGGTGCAGTTTAGTGATTAACCCACTTTAAGAATCACTCTATAAAATAAGTAAGTCTGTTATATTTCAAGAGAACAAGCTGTCCTGCAGATATAGCAGTTAGAAGGTTGAGACAAACCATTTAAGGGATGCCTACAATGGTAAACTTTTGTTTGTTTATGTAAAACCTTTATCCCAAAAGTAACAAAACTGTGCTGTAACTGCTTAAAAAGTGTGAGCTGAAGTTTGGCTTCAATTTGTTTTCATTTATAACACTCCCTTCCCTCCATGAATAACAATGCTGCTGAACAAAGGTGTCTCTGCTGCTCCTTCATCCATAGTTTAGGCACTCTAATACAGGAGGTGTGTTACAGGCCAGCTCACCTTTGAAAACAGAGGGGGAAAATCCTGAAAACAAAGAAAACAAATGCAGCCACAGCATCTAATGATTGGTAAGCTGCAATGTATTACATTTTTAGCTTTGGATTTGTTCCTGCTAACAACAGGTCTGCTTTAAGACTACTAGAAAAATAAATGTATGCTCAGAAAATGAGAGTCAGTGGGTGTATAGCATCCATATAATAGATACATCTGTGAAAGAAAGACCTGATTGGACAGG